TCACAGGTGATACGTCACAGGTGATACATCACAGGTGATACGTCACAGGTGATACATCACAGGTGATACGTCACAGGTGATACATCACAGGTGATACATCATAGTTGATACGTCACAGGTCATACATCACAGTTGATACATCACAGGTGATACGTCACAGGTGATACATCACAGTTGATACATCACAGGTGATACGTCACAGGTGATACATCACAGGTGATACATCATAGTTGCTGTTACAAGTCTGGGTGAAGGAAATAATCTGGGAGATGTTTCCAGTTTTTGAGTCACATGACTGTAAACAAATGTTGCATCTGTGTTCAAACCTGCAGACTGTGGTTGATCTAAGTGGCGAGGACATATCAAGAGGATGGACACAGTGGTGAGTGTGACCTTTGACCTGGACCTTGACCAGTAAACAGCTGTTTGGTTAGTCTCATGAAAGTTAATTTTAAAAAAGAATTAATGGGACAAATGATGGCGGTCAACCTAACAGACAGTAGTCAGTGCCCCCTGCTGGAAGAATGTGGTGCCTTACAGTAAGAAGGTCACTGGTCCGATGGCTGTTCAGTATTTCAGTAGGTTGGTGTCCACTCTGAACTGAGCGTAGGTGTGAATGTTAGTGTGAACGGTCCCTTGATGTGACCCTGTGATGGACTGTGACCCCCCCCGATCTGCCCAACCTGTTGTTTCTGTCTCAGCTCAGTTTTTCTCCTCTCCTCCTCCTCCAGGTATAGTTTGAGTGAAGACGGATTGTCTCAAAGTTTAACCAGTTTCCACGACTCTCTACCCACGTCCTGAACGTCACCTTCCTGCTGTGATTTAACGGCCGTGTGAAGAGTCCATTTTATCTTCTCTTCTCTCTCTCTCTCCCTCTCTCTCTCACACACACACACACACACACAGTTTCCAGCATGTAACTATGTATTTTTTAAACATTTCCAGTTATTGTTTCATTCACGGCCATGATGGGACTGTGTTTGTGATGAGTCACACTCAGACTGTTGTACTGAGTCACACTCAGACTGAACCCTTTTCAGTGTGTGATGTAAACATGGACCTGATGAAGTGAACACTGGAGAAAAGCAGGGTTTTTCACAGTTTTATGTTCTGTTAATGAGACGCTGTTAAAGTCTGTTATTGATTTGGTCCAGTTTGTAAGAATGTGGACGATCAGAAAAGAAAGCTTCACTTCAAACCTCCAACTTTATTTCTTTTGTCTTGAAGTTTATTTTGACTGTTTTCCACCTTTTTTGCTTGATTAGAAGATGAACGCCTACATTTGAAGAACAAAATGATTACTTCGTATGTTTTAAGAGGATTTTGTGCAATATTGTTTGATTATATTTGACTTTTGGAAAACGAGAGGGCATTTTTAGGGCTACAAGTGCTGTATCACATGGACAGAGCGCCACCTGTTGTTCATGCAAAGTAAGACAAACCAACGACCTATGAACAGAGAACATGTTTAGTTCTGTTGATAGATTCAGCGCGGCTCAGCTGACGTGTGTGTGAGTGTGTGTTGATGTTGTCCATACACTTGTTAGTCTTTATTTGAGCTCTTGAAGAGGTTCCTGTGTCTCTGCTGTGCCTTAAAACCCTCAGTATATTTCTTGCTTTAATTTAATTTAATTATCTTTGAATGATCTGATGCCAAATGGCTTTTGAAGAATATAAAGATTATCTTCTGACTTTTGTCCAGCCTGTCTGTGTGGGTAAGTATTTCAGTAGAAGATAAGAATTCAACATTTGGAGAATTAAACACATTTTTTGAAGAAATACTCACAGTGCTGTAGTGAATGAGTTGGCTCATTTAGCCAAACATAGCTTTACAGATAAGTAGTAGCTAAAAGATAGCACAAATAACTGCAAGTAATGACAGCTGAATCTGACCTGTCAGCTAAATGTTAGCCATGGAATAGCCTTGAACCAAATCAGGTCATTTTAGAGTAAGAGTTTGTTGTTAATGTTAATGTTAAACAACATAGAAGCCTCGCATATTACTAGTAATAGAGAGTTGGCCTAGTACTGGCAAGAGATAGGCTGTTAGCAATGAGTCAAGTTATGTCACAATGTAGAAAAAAACAAGTTGGTAATGAATGACAAAAGTTAATTGGACATGAGAGACATTATATGATAAGAATGAGTTAGGTTTGCCTTGGTCAGAGGTGTCCACACTGTTTTGACTTGGAAGCTAAAGTGATCAACTTTACATTGGAAACCATAAATACACACACTCTGAACATACTTCTTTAAAAACATTGTATGTTTGAGTACTGACTAAATGCATGCAGCTCTATGGCACAACATGAACCAGTTCTTACAGTACAGTATGTGGTCACCACTAAACACTATATAAGTATGACGACAGTTCGACCTTGTCTAAAAATGTCTAATTTCCTCTGAAAACTGGGAACTTGAAATCAGTAACATTTCCTGCTTACAGATAAGAAATAAGAAATAAGAAAATAAAACCAAGAGATGTAAACTAAAGGGCCACCGGAAGACTAACAAAAGATAATCGCTATTAAAAACAATGGCAATTATTTGTCGCCATCGCGCGGTCAACATTAAAAATGACAAAACCCGCCTGCCCCTGTAACGTAACGATGCATGACGTCGTGACGTCGCGACGTCGACTCCAAACAAATTTGCGCGGGTTCTGTACTGCTATGGACGGTTGTCATTTGGCCAGAAGTGTATCAATCTATAATTAAAAGGTAAGAAATGATACTGTATCCATCTAGGATGACTGGGGTTACAAGAACAAAGTGACATTAATGGTGTTTACGCCGCTGAAAGACAGTATTTTACACCGGCGGCCATGTTCGTACGCTTTCTATAACGATTGTTTTCAATATTTCCATCACAGTTTTACAAGGACAGCAACAAACAACGACGACATGTCGAAGAGAGAAGCGTTTTTAGCGGCGACCTACAAAGAAAATGTGGAGGATTTCCTTCGGTTTATTCAACTTCACGTAAGTTATATCACAAACTATATAGAAAACACATTAGAGATGAGTGAGTTTAGTGAGAGTTGACCAGTCTATACGACCAGGGGGTTAGTTTTAGATCGGAATAATTACGGTAGTTTTATTAAAAAGACAGTCATCGCCAAACTGAATAGCACTGCTGGTTTAAAGGGATTGTTACTACAGATTAACAGGAGTCGACTCGTGGACATTTAACACATTTTATTTTTATATTTCACTTAACGTTTTAAAGGAGCGATTGTATTAGTGAAGATTTGCTCCTTAAAATGTTAATCATCAACGTTTAGTTAAAACAATATTTGTTGTCGTACAAAAATAAAACATGTTGAATTTTAGATGTTTATTTACATGCGCAAGACGTTCATTCAAGCTACATTCAGTTATATGCAGAGCATTGCTATTGTTATGTTGATAAAATGTCATCAAGCAACAGTTTATTTAAGCTTCAGCCGTAGGCAACAAAGTTGTGATGATTGCAGACACTAACAAATGACTCTTTTTTTTTTTTTACGAACATAATTCTTCATTAAAAACCCAGAACGCAAAATGCAGAATTTTTCATGAAAACAATCTGTAGCTTTCACCAAAGTGATGTCTGGCTGTAACTTCCTGATTGTTTCATGGAGCAGAAGAACAAAGCTGATCCCTTTGACGTGGAGGAGGTGGTGCAGGAGATGCCCAGAGACCAGAAGGAGGCTCTGTGGGGAAAACTGTGTCTGTTCCTTCAGGATGTTCTGCAGAAACTTCCTCCTGAGTGCTGGGAGGAGAGCAACCAGGCCAGGGTGGAGGATGGCATGGATGTGGAGTCATCTGCAGACCCTGTAGGTCCATTAGTCCAGCCATAATCAGTTGCTTTTTTCTTTGGTGTTCATCTCCTTCTCTACTCCTTCAGGAACATGTGATGGCTGTGGTGGACGGTGTCACGCTGGTAGCTTTAGTGTCGTTGACCATCTTACAGGACGGAGACACCTACGATGGCCTTCTGGACATGGTCCACACACTGCATGGTGGGTGTGTTGTTCATCACCTGCTCTGTCCAAGTCAGTCTCTGGTCTCCGTGGTCAATTTGTGTCTGTCCCTCAGATGTTCTGCTGTCTCTGCCCGTCTCTGAGACTCCGCTGCCTCTGCTGCTTCACATCCACACACTGTGCGAGGCCTGGTGGAAGAAGGAGCTGGACCACAGAGAGAAGTTTGGTCGTACTGCTTTTCTCATCTCTCTGCGGAAGAGCTTCCTGTTGAAGAAACCGGTCAGTTTTCAAAATCACATAATCGACGTAACGACAAACAAACTGAACAATTATAACGTCACCTAAAAATAACAGCATCATCACCACTACAGAAGGTCAGTCCACACAGTTGACATGTCAACAGTGCTAGGCTAACTCACTGTCACCCAGGTTGATTCCATGGCACTGCTGCAGCATGTATTGTAACAAAGACACACTGGAGCTGCTGCAGCAGATCACACTGAGCCCCTGGCACATCATAAACCTCTGGCCTTTATACCAGAGCACAGAGTCATGTTGGGCCATCACTGGTGAACATGTGTGACTGTGACTTTTGAGTTTTTGTAGATTCCCCTGTGCTCATGTGTCTGTTCTCAGGGTGCAGAGATTCAAAGAGTCTGGAGTCTCCACGACGTGCTGCTAAGTCTGGACTACACTTCAGAAGAAAACAAGGAAGTTCTGGACCTACTGCTTCAGTGTTTCCACCGTCCAGTTTACATCAGGAACGATGATGTGAGTGAAGTCAGAGTTCAGCTGTTGTACTTGTTTCTTCTTTAGCCTGATGATTTTCTGTCTGTGCTGGTGCAGGG